CTGCTGCCTCAAAAGCAAATCTGGTATCGCTGACAAAACTAACCTGGCCGTTAGTCTCGAAAAGGACCTTTAACGGGATGTTGACTGGGGCAGGAATTGGCAGGTTAACTTTAATGCATCTAAAACAAAACTGCTCTCTATTACTCACCACAGGGAACCCTCCGTGCCTCCCATTAGAATGTCTGATGCTCAAATCCTCGAGAGGACCTTTTTTCGACTGCTTGGTGTCACACTGTCTGCTGACCTCAGATGGAACAATTACATTGAATCAATAGCTGCATCTACCACAAGGAAAATTGGTTCTCTGCGACATGCCAGAAAATTTTTATGACCCGAAAAGACAAATCTCTAAATCAACCATTCGCCTTTGCATGTAATATTACTGTCATATATGGTGTGGAGCCCTCGCTGTTCGTCTTAGGGTCCTCGAGAAAATCCAGAGACGAATATGCAATATGATTGGCCCTAATCTGGCATCTCGTTTACAATCGCTCTCTCACAGACGTGCCGTCGCCTCCCTCTGTCTTTTCTACAAATACTTTCATCGTAACTGCTCCGACGAGCTATTTTCGCTAGTTCCCAAACTGCATGAATTTAAACGTGCCACTAGGTTGGCACTTCGGTCCCACCCTTTCACTGTCGAAACGGTTAAATGTAGCCGTCTCTTCTACTCTAATAACTTCATGTCTTGCACTTCCCGTCAATGGAACTCCTTTCCTCTTACTTGCTTCCCTGATAGCTATAATCTCCAAATATTCAAATGCAATGTCAATCGACATCTTCTGATGCCCTGATCTAATTGCCCGTCCTTCTCCCCAGCCTTTCCTCTTTCACGCCTCTTTACTCTTGCTCCCACTCTCTGTAACCCCTTGCGTGCTAGTGGCACTCCCGCCTTGCTAGGGGGGGAAATGCTTAAAAAAAAATAATAAAGAATACTGACATTAATTGGACAGTGGGACTGTCGCAGAAAACAAGTTTGTCTGTTAAGAACGGCAAGAATAATCCTAAAAGTGATGAACACTTAGAGCCAGAGGAAAATTGCATGATACCTAAGGCTGTTGGTTGTAGCCTGCCATCCAAGCATTAATTAGCAGATATCAAGATCTTATCTTAGAAAATATACTACTACTACTACTTAATCAGTTATGTGCTTAAGCGATCATGTATCTTTCGATACATGACTGATGAGGCAGATTTTTTGCTATTTCTTTCTGCGGTAGACAAGTTACTATCCAAGTCTATAGAATCCTGTCTGTCCTGCTATTTACCCATAGATGGGGGAAGAAGAAGAGGATTCATACTTTTCCCAAGGTAACGTTAATGAATGTAATGGATTCGACTGGAATTCGAACTCGGCTCTCCGATTCCTCAATCCGAGCCGCTATCCATTACTCCACCGTGCTGCTACTACTAATACTACTACTAATACTACTACTAATAATAATAAAGAAAAGATTAGTTACAACGATAACCCGAGGGTCTTAAAATTAATTATCATTATAATTAAAACATTTACTATTCTAATAAAAAACAATAATTACTGGAAGACGAATATTAAGTAATAACAATGACAATGATACTCGTATAAATAAGTGGAAAATCTGTTTCATCACTGCATCTCTGGGAATTGAGAAATCTTATATTCTTAACCATGAAAGTTTTTGTTCTAACCACTAGGCTATGTGAAATGAGAAAGTATTTTCTCCCACCCTGAAATCTGATTGGATGACGATTGTGAAGTACAAGGGCAAAAATGAATACATTTCTGTATGTGATTTCAGAACAGAATTATAAGAAAATCTCACACACATTCATACCAATACCGTATTATAGAGAAGTCTTCTGGGATTTATAATGCAGTACAATACTGAAACATAAAATCATTTAAACCAATAGATGTACAGTCAGAAAAATAGAAAACATTCTCGATGCAATTGCTCGATTGGTTACGCCATTTTAAAATATTTGAATTGACAAAATTTACGTTTGGGAAAATAAAGAAATTTTATTTTTGGGAAAAATATTCTTTTCGGATAACGCCCTAATTTGGCATTTCGAAATAGAAGGTAACAGTCTTGAGATCCCAAAAAGTTACAGGCTTTTGCTTAATTTGCCAAAGGTATCGGGTAAATGTTATTATCTGTTAGAGTTGCAGTATTTTCTTCTGAATTCTTATTCAAAATCAGTAATTTACATCCCGATTGCAATTTTCTTTCTTTCTTTCTTTCTTTCTTTCTTTCTTTCTTTCTTTCTTTCTTTCTTTCTCATACATCTGTTTCTTCACCTATCTATCTATCTATCTATCTATCTATCAATCAAATTCTGTTCATATCTATCTATCTTTTTTTTATTAATGTTCACCCAATATTCAGAATCAGCAATTGATATCTCGAATGCAACTTCCTTCCTTCCTTCCTTCCTTCCTTCCTTCCTTCCTTCCTTCCTTCCTTCCTTCCTTCCTTCCTTCCTTTCACACACACATCTGTTTCTTCATCTATTCATCTATACATCTCTATATATTCTTATTTTCTAATGTTCACCCTATACAAGGTCCAAGAGCCACTCAAGGTAGAGTGTTACTGAAGGAGGTTGTTGCGGCAAGAATAAGAGGTTAGCACCGTATTTTATGAGGATATGTGGCAAAGAGAACTGTTATCAGTAGACTTGAACAGGTTAAGATTGGATTGGTCGGGAAAGTATCCTCTTGGGAGTCGGTTTCACAAAGTAGTTATTCGTGGGAAGAAGCTGTTCGAGTGAAACTTCTTACCTACTCATGGAATATGAAGTGAATGGAGAGGGTTTGCCACGGCGTGTGTGTGTGTGTGTGTGGGGGTGGCCACTAAAAATATAACGTTTCAATTAATTGATTCCTTAGAAATATATATTGATTTGTTAAGTGTAGTTAAGTGTGGGTACAAGGCCGTAGATATGGGGTAACCAGTAAGGATCGAATTCATTTGTAATTGATCTAGCGAAACGATCTTGTTAACAATTACACCATGTGGAAGCACCGATCCTTAAATATATATATATATATATATCAAGCAATCGAAATGTTTGCTCCTCTTTCTTTCTTTCTTTCTTTCAAATGCAAACGTTTTCATTTTTAAAAATCTATGTAGAAACTTTGTCGACATGGAAACAAATATTCAGTTTTGTGTAATAAGAATATTAGAAATATTTGTAAGTGTTTTTTCGAAATTAAATCCGAAAACACCCATTGCATTTAAAACTTTTTTGCCTTGAAGGCCTATTGGGACTTCAGCTTTCCCAAACCTTAAGTAGAATTCGTATATACGATCCATCGCTAAAGATGCTGGAAAAATGGTCGGTTCTCTGTGCCGGTCCAGTAAGTACCTGACTCTTCCTGCTATTTACAAGAGCCAGATTGGACTCAAAATGGAGTATTGCTGCCTAATTCTAGATTGTCAGTCTTTGATTGATTTAGTGATTTATTTTTCAGACTTGAAAACTTTATGCAGGAAATATTTTTAGATTTTAAGCATTTTATGTAATAATGATTTTAGTGATACAAGTATTACTAATTAACCCATAGGTGGAGGGAGAAGAGGAGGATTCATACCTTTACCAAGAATATTTGCGTGTAAGTTAATATAAGGAATCCAACGTGAATTTGAACTCAGCTCTCCGAATAATAATTCCGAGTCATTATCCATTACACCACCCGCACATCTAAGCTTACAGAACCTGGTATTCCCTGCGCTTCTTACGTCACCCTCTTGCGTTCATAAGACAACCTCAGTAATGCTTTACCTTGAGTGACTCTTGGACTTTGTATTGGGTGAACAATTATCAAAAAAAAAAAAATCAAGACAAAACCCCCTGAAGCATTGCCATTCCTTTTATGGGAAATGGATGCATATTTGAACTAAAAGTTCATTGTTGTGACTTTATAAAATTGCAAATAAAAAAGATATTTCTTAGAAATATGGAGTCTCTACTTGCATGAATGCCTATGAAAACGTCATTTTAGAGACTTATTAAATATTTATTATCGACTAAAAAAAGTGAGGTAAATGTAGATGCAGAAGCTGACGGTTGTGCTAGTCATTATTGGCGCACTTTGATCAGTTGGGAAAACGGACGAAACATGACAAAAATGCTAGGATCATGGTTAGGTTTCGCAAAACGAAGATCAAGAGGAAGTCTGTAGACATCGCTTGCAGGCACGTTTGTAACTGATAAATCCAATGCGGGACAGGCATATACGGTTACAGCTGAAAGTTTGGTCTGGTCTCGATGGCATAGCATTGCAGTACTTCTTCCCTTGCCTCTTGTCCCTGAGAGCGACCCTGCAGGTTGGTGGTGAGACGCCATGCGTCACGTTTCTCAGCTAGGGTTGACCATTGGCAATGGTTAATGTAATAGGCAACAAAGGATTTTTTTCAGGCAATCTTTGAATCGCAATCTTTGGATCGCCTCTCTGCCGCAATTAGAGCAGAGCGACGTTCTGGTCGACCACTGTCCGGTGTATCCAGAATTGTTCTGTGGTTCCAGCATGTTACATGTCGGTGTATTAGGCATTCGATGAAGAGTAGAAACTGTCTAGACTACGGAGGCTGAGGAGATTCGTTTGTTTTTTACGGTTTATAAACCTTTTGCATGTTATTTAAAGTCGGAAAATATATTCAGATTGTAAATTTTTTTTTTGTGATATTAATGATTTTTAGTCTAGATGGTTGACACCGTGGAAAGGTCAGGTAATGTAAGCTTGGATGTGCGGTCGGTGTAATCGATAATGACTCGGAATTGAAAGTCAGGGAACCGAGTTCTAACTCCAGTCGGGTTCATTATATTCACTTACACACAAATACCCTTGAGAAAGGTACGGATTCACCTCTTCTCTCCAAACTATAGGTTATTTAGTACAATTTATAAACATTCTACTAATTAACCCATAGCTGGGGGCGAAGATGTGGATTCCTATCTTCCTGAAGGGCATTTGCACGTAAGTGCATATAACGAACCCGACATCCAAGCTTACAGCACCTGGTATCCCCAAGCGATCACCCATCTAGTTACTACCCAGGCTCGACGTTGCTTAACTTCGGTGATCGTACGAAAACCGATGTTTCAACATGATACGGCCCTAAGCCTGCTGAGGATTTGAGGAGACATGGTTAATTTTCAGCAATAATCACCACACATTATCAGAATATGGAAATGCAATAAAATAATAATAATAATAATAATAAATATATGAGCACAAACCAGACACAGTTATTCAAAAGGAAATAAAAGCCAACAGAGCTGATATTATCATAAAAGACAAGAAATTCAGGCAGTGTATGCTTATTGGCATAGCAGTACCATCTGAGAGAAACATTTCCATAAAAATTATCGAGAAATTGTCCAAATACAAGGACCTGGACATCGAGATTAGCAGGATGTGGGGAATGAAGACTGAGGCAGTACCGATAGTAATCGGAGCTCTGGGCCTCGTGAGAAAAGGAATGGACAATTTTACGAACAGTGTTCCAGGTAACAGCAACATACAAGTTGCCCTTAAGCACGTCCTCCTAGGAACATCCCATATATTAAGAAATGACAATTCCCCTATAGGAGCTAAGGTCCATTGTTTGGACCCGGCTCTACAGGATAGAAAGCAGGAAACATAGCATACACAAATAATATAATATAATATCACTGAATATAAAACTCGGCATGACAGATTGGGCCAAAATCTGCAACTTTTACGGAAAGCAAATTGGAAGAAATTGGTATAAACATCACCCAGACCCGGTTAGAGAGATAGGACCTGTAACAATTTTATGAGACTTTACACACAGGCAGAACAATCAAACCTAATCGTCCAGTCATCGTGATAAGAGGCCGCAAAAATGTCCCTTCTTATTGACATGGCACTCCTTGCAGACTGTAATGTAGCTTTGAAGATCTTCAAAAAATTATCAAAATACAAGGACCTTGAAATCGAAATCTCAAAAATGTGGCACATGAGGACATCAACAATTCCAGTTTTAGTTGGAGTCATCGGTTTGATTGGAAAAGGTTGAAGGGATTCCTGGTAGCCCATGCCTTAAAGAAATATAAAAACTTGTACTCACAAGTACAGCTCACATCTTACGAAGAACTTGATGTAAAATGTGTGTGATCTTTGATTTTTTTTTATCTCAAAAAAATGCACGGTGGGAAATGTCATGATGACCTCTCCGATTTTAGGTCTTTGGGTGAGACTCGGAAAGAAATCGGTATACGTCAGAAATCAAAGGAATTAATAATAATAATAATAATAATAATAATAATAATAATAATAATAATAGAAAAGTGGAAATATTGTGGGATATTCCGATCAGATAATGACAACTTTAGAGTACAATAAAGCAGATTTAGTCTGCTGGACAAACAAAGATTTGATTCCCGATAGAAGTCTCCTGTCCATTTGATATGAGAATAGAAATCAAAGACAAGAAAATCGAGAATTCCAATGGTTTTGAAGCAGTGTTTCTCAATTTTTTACCCTTGTGGAGCCCTTGAAATAGTTTTTATGTCTCAGGGGAACCCCCACATAAAAATGATTATATACCGTTATTAATATCTGTCTGTGGTAAACGTAATATATGGACACTGTGCATGCATCCTGTACTCGAGTGAGCCACTCAATGATACACAAATCCGCCACGTACAGGTCCTGTCCACTAACCAGTGAAGGCAGTTTTACATAGGCGCCATACAGACATCACTAAATACATTCCCTATGACTATTATAATTTTAAATATAAAATATTGAAGCCTTTATTATAATAACCATACATTTTCCAAGAAAATGCCATACGTGTATAGCAAAATTACGAATATAAAATTAAACAAAACATACTCAAAATTGCATTAGCTTATTTATCACTGTTTCTCTCCTAGCGACCTATTACGGAGACTTCATCATCATCTTCTACCTCCCTATCGTTGGTCGGAACTTCCCACAATGTTCAGCGCTGTATTGCTGCCCCCAGATCCCCAATGTCCAACCCTGAGTCCCAATCTATGGTGTCTGGGAAAATCAATTTTTGTGAGAAGACACTTCCGGAAGGATGCTATAGGAGTAAAGATGAGACGATTTCCCTGTCCGCTTGTTGGCAGTGGCCGGCAAACTGTCATCGTTTTTGTTTGAGCTCAAGAGAGATTGGCCTCAGCTCTTCGTAAATTGTGTTAAGCGCTGCATGGCATCTCCAACTGGTGTTCTTGATTTTTCTAAGTAGATTTGTCTATGTTCCATCCAGTCGTCTTTCAAGACGAACAGATAATGTCCAAGTTTCTGATCCATACAGTCGGACTGGTTCAATCAAAAGAGGATGGAAGGTTCGAGCGCCAAATCTTGTGAAGTTTATGAAGGAAACTTAGGGTTCCGGTTAACACTGGTTGAGAAACACTGGTTTAAAGTGTGAAATTTTTAAAGTTTGAAAAGAACTTGCAAAATAAGTAATTTTAGTACCAGTGATCATTGGAGCACTGGGATGTTATACAAAAACATGAAAAAAAAATTTTATGATTTGGAAATAGAGCCTTGACGAAAAACTCGCCTGTTCGAAACAGCGAGGGTACTTTGAAAAATATTGGATATTTCTCGATGGAAAGAAAAAAAATGATCGATTTATTTTCTTAAGTTACAGGAGGTGACCTGAATATAAAGTTTTTAGCAGCAACCAACATCATATGCTGTGCGGAAAATGCGAAATAATAATAATAATAATAATAATAATAATAATGATAATAATAATCGAAAAAGAGCGAAAAAATATCTGAACCTTTGCAGATAACTGAAGAATTCTAGAATCTGATTATGACAATAGTACACATAGTTTTTAGACTGCTTGGAAGAGCCTCCCCGGCCTAAAAAAAGAATTTTGAAGAACTGCGAATTGAGGGAGAATTGAAAGTTGCAAGACACTAATACTTTTTTTTTATTTTAAGCATTTCACTCCAAGCAAGGCGGGATGCCAATAGCACGCAAGGGGTTACAGAGAGTGGGAGCGAGAGTAAAGAGGATTGAGAGAGGAAAGAATGACGAGAATGACAGGGAATAGATCAAGGCATCTGGAGATGTCGATTGACATTATATTTGAATAGATGGAGATTACTATTACTACTACTAATGATGATAATCAACTAGAATACTGAGGAGAGTTCTGTAGCCTTGGGGCTACTTGCTGTCAGTTAATCTCCAACAAAAATCACCACTAAGATGATCATAATCTCCAGAGTCGTATCAATATTGAAACAGTCGAAAGAATTTCCCAAACACTATAGAATAAATTGGAGGAGTTGGAAAATGGAGAAAAGGTTAAAAAAAAAAAGCCCGGCACCACAGCAGAGTATTTTGGTTGGTAAGAGGACTGAGGTGGGTACTGAGGTGGGTGCTGAGCTGGGGGCCGAGGTGGGTGCTGAGACGCATATTAGTTTTCTAGCGACAACTACCAATGAGTTGGTGTGAACATGCAAATGCATGAAAATACGATAATGTTCTTAATTCAAATACTATTATCTATACGAGTATCTATTCTCTCGCTTAGTCGCACTAATGATACACTGGTAGGGAACGGTATTTGATAGAAAAACTAATTCTATACAAACACGCTGTTATAGGTAAACATTATTAAAACATACATTGGAGCTTTGCAATTCAAACGAATTGCTCAGTCCAGGCCAGTACATCAAATCTAGTCAATGTAAAAAAGAAAACTATAAATAAATAAATTGTTTGTATTTCTGAGATGAGATATTGTAACTATTTACATTATTTACATTGTTCGTACTGTTGTTCTCATCTTTATTGCCATATTCACGACGTTTCAACCGTTGTACGCCTCGGCCTTCTTCAGGATCTGTCTATATTTATGAGATGAAATATTGTAACTATTTCCACTATTTACATGGTTCGAACTGTAGTTCTCATCTTTATTGCCATATTCATGACGTTTCAGCCGTTGTACGCCTCGGCCTTCTTCAGGATCTGTCTATATTTCTGAGATGAAGTATTGTAACTATTTCCACTATTTACATTGTTCGGACTCTGGTTCTCATCTTTATTGCCATATTCACGACGTTTTTGTACGCCTCGGCCTTCTTCAGGATCTGTGTATATTTCTGAGGTGAAGTATTGTAACTATTTCCACTATTTACATTGTTCAGACTGTTGTTCTCATCTTTATTGTCACATTTACAACGTTTCGACTGTTGTACGCTCCTGCTTTCAAATAAGAAAAAGGCTGGAGTGTCCAACGGCCGAAACGTCATGAATATGACAATAAATATGAGGATAATTGTTCGAGCAATGTAAATAGTTACAATATCTCATCTCATAAATATAAATAGATCCTGAAGAAGGCCGGAGCGTATTGAAACGTCGGGAATGTGACAATAAAGATGTGGACAACAGTTCAAACAATGTAAATAGTGTAAATAAAATGTTAACAAATTATTTCTGTCTGAATTTATGGGATGAGAAGTTATTATTATTATTTACGCTGTTTACATGCTGACTATTGTCCTCGTCTTTGTTGTTGTTATCACAACGTTTCGACCATTGTGCCCCCCCCCGGCCTTTATCAGGTGTCTATCAATCTGGGTAATCTACAGAGTGTACCGTACTGAACACTTTATTTAATCTACGGGGTTAGAATGTACTCGTTCCCCTGCCCATAACTAGGGATATCTCATTTAGTTCTCATTTTTATTTCTGCTCACTTATTGTTCGACTTGTTTACACTGAGTCTATGCTACCCAGCCTAGGGATTGAACTCACGTGTCGCCAAATTCACGAAGCAAAGCTTTAATCTACTAAGTTATTGTCCCGTAGGTTACACGGATCTGTATACACCTGATGAAGGCCGGAAGGCATAACGGCCGAAACGTGGGACAACAACAATAAAGATGAGGTCGATAGTCCGTATGTAAATAATGTTAACAAGTGGTTGTCAAAATATAAGACATAAATGGGCCTTGTCAAAGGAATAAACATGAAAGTGAAAAGAATTAGAAATCCGAAGAGTAGGAAGCATCCCGACAGGAGAACTGTTAAAATATCGAAGAGAGTTCCGGCATATTTAGAAGGCATTCTTTTACTTGGTCTTCCATA